CAACTTGGGTTTTATAATAAGTATGATATATATAATGTATATTTTGGCAGCAACCTTTCTTCCAAACATCTTTCACTAAATACAGCTGAAAATACAAAAATTCTATATAAATCATATTATCAGAAACATTTTGCTATTCAAGAAGCCCTATATATCAAACAGTTCTCTCCTACCATCAACCTTATATTATTTAATAGAGGATATAAAGTGTTAAAAGCTTTTAAAAAGTCAAAAATAAATGATCACATGAATTCCAGTTGTGTGTGGTATGTGAGAGTTTGGACTGAATGCTCCTTTTCCAAAAAAACAACACAAACATAATTTACAACATAACATGAGGAAGAAATAACTGAACCAAAGACAAAACACACATTATATTTTATATTCCTTGACTCCTAGAACACAAAAAATGTTAAACTTCATAAAAATTTAATTCAAACTTCCTTGTCAGCTATATTCAATTAAATACACACACACATATATATATATATAACTTATATATAAGTAATGAAAATCTTGGTAATCCATATGGATAATCCCAAGGAGGATGAAATATGGAGAGCTCAATGTTAAATCAGACCAATTAATTTAAAGAAAACAGATAACTTTAAGGGTCCATGGTTATAATTTATTTCCCCAGGGAATTTATTTTTCCCTGGCTAATCATACTTCACTTCCTTGGATGTGAGGTCTGATGAGCCAGGGAAAAAGAAACTCCCTGGGGAAATAAATTATAACCATGGACCCTTTAAGTTATCTGTTTTCTTTAAATTAAATAATATACATATATAATAAATCAAGAAGAAAACTTCTTAGATCCATTTCCATTTCAAATGGAGATTTAAGGTTTTCTTCTTGATTCATTGTTATTATAATGTTCTGTAGTTTACATTGAGTTCTCTCTGGATTAATATTCTCCTTATTCTACCAGTCACAAATTGGCAATATATATATATATATATATATATATATATATATATAATCAAAATTATTGATACAGACTAATAAAAAGTAGTTTTTGTGGATATAATTAAATTGTAGCATGGTAGAAAGAAAAATCAATATTTTGGATAAATTTACTCGCAATACATTGCGTTCAACCAAATGACTTTGAAAATTATTTTAATAAAACTCAACTCAAATAATGAAACAAAAACTTGCAAAAAGGTCAAAATTATTGGCAATGTTACAATTTCATGATTTCAAAATGTGAATATTCCTCTATCTATGCAGCACTCATCAATATATAACTTCTCAAAGATTTTACTCTAAAAATAATCTGCAAAACACTCTTGACTTGGAAGAATAAATACTTATTGGCAATTCACATTTTTTGTCATGCATGCAACATCTGTCACTATGCCAAAGACAACAGAAATAATGTTGTAAAATGCTATAAGAATGGTGACGGGTATGAAAAGATTGCCAGAAAATATCTTTTGGTTACTGCAGTGAACATTCTTCGTTTATTTGTATGCATTTGTTTTGTAATTTCTTTGTGTAACACCCTATATTCTGTGCCATACATTAGCATTGTTTGCTGTCTGCTTTTCAAAATGTCTAGAATTTCATTTTTAATCCACTCCTTTTTTTTTTCCTTCAGATTGATTTCATTTGTTGGTGTCACTAAAGCTTCTTATAATGTGTATCACATTCAATTTCTATTCTCATTTAGTTCATTGTACTACCTTTAATGTTGTCAGTGTGCATCTCTGCAGTTCAAGTCATTCAGGAGTCTGTCATATTGTAATTTGCTGCTGCTTTTGCTTTCCCAATCTGTTTAAACTATAGAGCGAGGAATTTCTGGTAGAATTGGAAACCCTTCAAGTATTTAGAATTGGCGGTCACAGTCTTAACAACATAAGATACGCAAATGACACAGTAAACAAAAAGAAGAAAGGGACAAGAGGGGGGGTGCAGACAGTGCAGTGTGCCGTTTGCTGGCAGACCAGCTGTTCTTCCTTCATCATCGGTCGCCTCAAGGAAATGGATTGCGAAACTCCCTTTCTCGGCCGTTACACCGGGCAGTCGTTAAACAGACACCAACTCAGCCGCGCATACTTCGACTTCCTCTTTGTCCATCAGTCAATTCACACGTCCAACTCTATTGCACAAAGTTTGCTGAATGACTTCCAACCTGAGTTGTGCTGCTGGCATCTGGCTTTTTATGCCAGTCTGATATGGCCAAAATTTTTCATGTGTGCAAATATCGTCTCATTTTGGACAAGATCGGCACGCATAAATCGTGTCTTTGATAGTAGCTATATTTCTTTTCCTCATTACTTTGCAAGCAAGACATGTTCGCACTCATTTTGAACTTCGAGGTAAGTCATGTCTTTTGTTACAACCGATAGCAGACACGGAAAAGAAACTACAAAATCTCCTACAGAAGGTAGCGATGGAGAGTGAAAAAAAGGACTAAGCATAGACTACAAGAAGACAGAATGCATGGTCATCAGTAAGACGTGGAAGTTTAAATATCTGGTAAGTGTCTCGACAGAAGATGTTAAGTGCGACACTGAGATCTGTAGACGTTTTGGGATGGCCAAGGACACATTCCAAAAGCTGAGCAGTCTATTGCAAGACAGCAGGATTTGTCCATATTTCTGAGATGATGTATTATGTACATTATTTACATTATTCGGACTCAAGGACACATGGCACAATGGATAAAGGTATTGGTTAGATCCAGTGACAGGATCCAAAGAGTATGAGTTCAATACCTGGTTAAGGCAGTGGAGAACTTTCAGAGGGAAATTAACAGGAGATAACTGATAACTGACATCCATTAAACATGGCACATGGAACTAGAACAGTCTACCCCAGTGAGCGAAATAAAGTGTTAAGTTTGACATTCCAACCACCTGAAGAAGGCCGGAGTGTACAATGGCCTAAACATAATAAATATGGGGTCAAAGATGAGGACAATAGTCTGAATAATGTAAATAATGTACAGGAGGATTTCTTTGGCAAAAAAGAAAAGAATACTGAACTGTTACATGACATCTGTCCTTCTTTACGACATGAATGTTGGACGATTTTCTCAAAGATGAAGAAGAGAGATGAGGTTCTACAGAAGGATGTTGAGGATATCATGGATCGAGTGTGTAAACAATGATGAGATCTTAGAGAGTTTGGAAACAAAGAGGAGGCTTATACTTAATATCAGGAATAGGTAGCTGAAGTTTCTGGGATACATAATGAGTAAGGAGGGCCTGGAGAATCTGATACTCACAAGTTGAATAGAGGGAAAGAAAGAAAAGGGAAAACAATGCATCACATACCTGACAGACTTAAGCAAGTGGATGACAGAAAGTGATCTGGGGAGAGGAAGCAGATGGAAGGAACTTATTGAGAGTTGCAAGAGATAGAGGGAGGTGGAGAGCCATGATCGCCTACATCCTGAAAGGACATGGCACATAAAATTAAAGAAGGGAAAGATAAACAAGGGCATGACATACATAGGAGACTTAAGCAAGTGGATGACAGAATGATCTGGGGAGAGGAAGCTGAGGGAAGGAACTTGTTGAGAGCTGCAAGGGATAGAAGGAGGTGGAGAGCCATGATCGCCTACATCCTGAAAGGACATGGCACATAAAAGGAAAGAAAAGGAAGAGAGACAAGGGAAACCAATGTCTGACATACCTGGTGGACTTAAGAAAAGTAGATGACAGAACATGATCTGGAGGGGGAAGCTGAGGGAAAGAACTTGTTGAGAGTTGCAAGAGATAGAGGGAGGTGCAGATGGCACATAAAAAAGAAAAACAATTTCCAAGCTTTTATTCTCAGATTACATATGACTGGAAGTTGGTCACTCGCACAGTTGGTACTTGGATATATTTTACAGTGTAAAATTACATACCAGAATTTCTTATTGTTATGTAGTCAATCTGTTTTGGTTTTTTTGTTTTTTTGTTTTTCCTCTTGATTCAAATTCATAAGCATCTTGGGTGTTCTTGAAACTTGGTGTTGACTATGACCTGGTCATTTGCCATGCAATACTGGAACCATTTTTCTCTGCATTCATTACAGGTTCCTTACTTGAATTTGCCAACTCTTTCACCATCTCACTCCAAGGACACTAGACATAGAAGACAAAGACTTCTGTGAAATATGGAAGTAGGCCATAACTAAACATTTTCAGAATAAGGTGAACCCAGGATCATGTGGATTTCACAGAATAACTCTAGAGTGACCATCAAAAAAAATAACTGGTGACTTAGCATTTGTAGATGAACAAAAATGTTTCTTACTGAACAGTGGGTGGAATTCTTGACAAAAGAGTACTGAGGTCATGTATGATTTTTACTAAAGATAATACTGGGAATAATGTTAATTGATTGATCTCTTTTTTATGACTTATCAACCTTTTGTGGGTTATTTAAAGCCAAAACATATTTTGGGGGTGTAGGAATAATATTATTTTGCTATTAAATATTACATTAACAAATTTTATTTTCTAAGATAACAATGATTTTTTTTCTCCAGATAAGTCCTACTATTTAATCCATATCTGGGGGAGGAGATGAATTCATAACTTTCCCAAGAGTATTTGCACTTAAGTGGATCTGACTGATATTTGAACTTGTCTTTCTGATTTCGCATTCCAAGAAGAATGTTGAATTCTAGAAGAAAATATTATGGTCTGTTGAAACAAAAATAATTATTTAATCATAACAATGCGTGATCTTTTGGTTTGATTGATTGATTTGCTTTTTAAAATTTATCAACCTTTTGTAGGTTAAAGCCAAATATTTTGTATGCATAAGAATAATTGTTCTTTTTTGTGAGTGAATATTCTATTAACAGTTTCTTGGAGATAATAATGATTTTCAGATAAAAGTCATAATATTTTAACCCATAGATTGGGAGGAGAAGATGTTGATTGATACCTTTCCAAAGGGTGTTTGTGCATAAATTAATGTAATGAACTCGACTGGAATTCAAACTCAACTTTTCATTCCAAGCCATTATCATTATGCAACCCTGTACATTCAACCTTACACCACCTGATATTCCCAAGCAGTTACCTATCTAGGTACTAACCAGGCTTGACATTGCTTAACTTCTGTGATTAGATGAGAGCCTGGACATTGTTTGGAGAAAAGGTGGCAAAACCTGTCTAGCAAAGAAAACTGCCCCTTTAGTGAAGCATGATGGCAGTAATTTGATGTTCTGTTGCTGCTTTGCATTAAAAGGTCCCGAATGTTTAGTTAAATTGATGGTATCATGGGGGAAGGATCAATTTATTGATGTTTTGAGCCACAAGTGGAAGGAGCCTGTAACTGAATATGTGATATCATATGGCAGGCTTCAAATTTAGTGTAAACATTATTGGAGGTAAGTGGGATAAAAATCACTGGAGATAAGTAGCCAGCTCAAAGCCCAGACTATAGAAAAATTTTCAATAGAAAATCCTGAATCATTGTTCTCAGAGATGATGATAAGACTGGAGGCAACAGAAATGTTGTTCTACAGAAGGATGCTGATAATGTGTAGCGAAAGAGATAATCAGTTACCCCAGAAGAATGTTTGTGTTTTGTGTGCGATCTGACAAAGAAAAATTACCAAAAAGAAGTTAGCAAAAATCTACTTCAATGACTAGAATCTATGCTAATGTTCTCCCCTCTCCTGAATGGTGTGACCAATCAGAAAGATCCCTTGGTGAACTGAAGCTGTTGTTTTTCACTTATAAAGGCAGAAGATTTTTTGAGCTGCTCATTAGAAGTGAAGGTTGGATGTGTGACCCATTTTGTCGTTTCTACTTTGCTTGTTGGTCTGTTACGACGGGCTATCGTGTGGACTGGGATTTGGCTACAAGTGTTGCAGTCAAGAAACAGAAGAAATCTATTGCAGTTGCTACTATAAGTTGACAGTCTTTTCTTTACTACAACATAATGTCATGGAGAGAGTGTGTAAGCAACAAAAAAGTCTTCTTTTAGGTGCTATGTTCCTTCTGGACATAGATGATCATGGCTCTCCTCTTCTTTCTATTCCTTGTAGCTCCCAATAAGTTTTGTTCCTTTGCTACTTCCCCCAGGCCATGTTCTGTCATCCACTTGCTTAGGCCCACCAGGTATGTCACATGTTGCTTTCCCTTGTCTCTCTTTCCCTCTATTCACCCTGTGAGTATTGGATTCTCCAAGCCTTCCTTTCTCATTACGTGTCCCAGAAATTTCAGTTGCCTTTTCTGTAGGCTTCCTCCTTGTTTGCATCCTCTCCAAGACCACATCATTGCTCACTCGGTCCATGATATCCTTAGCAGCATACCTCCATTGCCTCAAGTCTCTTCTTCATCTCTGAGGAGACCATCCAAAATTCACTGCCATAAAGGAGGACAGATATCGTGTAGCAGTTCAGTACTCTTTTCTTTGTTACCAACTAAATCCTCCTGTCTTGTAATACTCTGTCTAGCTTTTGGAATGTGTCGTTGGCCATCTCAATATGTCTTTGGATCTCAGCATTGCGCTTACTATCCTCTGTCAGAACACTTCCCAGATATTTAAATTTACACACCTGCATGATTTTAGTGTCCCTGACCAGTAAATCGCATTTCTGGCTCATCTTTTTACTGATTACCCTGCATTCTGTCTTCTTTTCGTTTATGCTTAGTCCCTTCTTCTCACTCTCCTTTGCTGCCTTCTGTAGGAGGTTTTGTAATTTCTTTTCCATGTCTGCTATTAGCATTGTGTCATCTGTGTATCTTGTTAAGATTGTGGCTGCCAATGATGAAACCCTGTAGGATTTACAATTCTCTCAGAATTGCCTCACTATATAGGTTGAATAAGTCTGGTGTGAAGACACATCCTTGCCTTATGCTCCTTTCTATTTTTGTATATCTGCTGAACCCCTTTTCTGTCTGCATGCAGGTTGTTTGCTGCCAGTATATGTTCTTGATCATTCTAATATATTTCCCAAATATATCAAGGTTACCAAGCAGTTCCAACAGATCTTTGTGGTGTACTTTGTCAAGAACCTTTGTGTAGTCTATAAAACACAGGTGCACATTCTTCTGCACCTGTATTGCTCTTTCTAATAACATTCTGAACATGAATATTGCATTCCTTGTTCCAGTGTCTTTAACAAACTGGCACTGTTCTTGTCCTATCTCTGGCCTGATTCTGCTGCATGCTCTATTGATCAGAATTCGGATGATGAATTTTGTTATGTGGCTCATTAGGCTAATTTTTAGTGGAGTTCACATTTGTTTGCAGCTGGTTTCTTAGGCAGTGCTATGAAAATAGATCTGCTGTGATCTCCTCATCATTTATACTTAACATCAAAAATTTTTCAGATATATAATGAGGAAAGAGGGCTTTGAAAATTTGATATCCAGAGGATATATTTTAGGGAAAAATCAACAGGGGAAGGCAGTGGAGCATCTATCGAATAAACTTGTATGAATGGATGGTGGAACATAGTGAGGGAGGAATGACAAAGGGACTAGTGTTGCTGAAAGCTACAAGGGATAGAAAGTTGTGGAGTGCCTTGATTGCCAAAATCCTAACAAGTCATAGCACAAAGAAGAATCTCCCAAAATATGTCATCTGATGAGGAACAAGCTGGTGAAAAATTACAAGAAAAAATACCAAAATTTATTGCTTGAAAAGATACACTATTAACAATTAACCATGCCAGTATGTTTGCTTTTATTAAAATTTATGTTTTTGATTATTTGGGTTTTATTTAAATAATTTTCAATGTATTTTTTTTTCTTTTGGATGCAATGTGTTTGGGGTAAATATATCAATTTAATATTACTTCTTTTTATCAAATTTATCAAAATATTCAGTCAGTTATGTGCCATGTGTGATACACACTTAGGCGATCATGTATCTTTTGATACATGACTGACAAGGCAGATTTTTTTCGTGCAGTAGGTTGCCATTTCTTTCTGTGGCAGACCAGTTGTCATCCAAGGCTATAGAACCCAGTCTGTTGTGCTATTTACCCATAGTTTGTGGGGGAGAATAAGAGGATTCATACCTTTCCCAAGGGTATTAACACGTAAGTGAATGTAATGGATTCGACTGGAATTTGAACTCGGCTCTCTGATTCCTCATTCCGCGCCACTATCCATTACCCCACTGTGCATCCTCAAAATATTACTTTTTCTTTTTTTATTCTTTTTTTTTAAATTTTCTATTCCATGTTAAAAATGTGCTCACAGACACTACCTCATATTGAACTGTGCCAATAATTTTGACAATCACTGTAGGTATGAACAAAGATGAACCTATTTATATTAAGCACTGATTTCAAACATAAAAGAAATCATGTTTCAATGTGGATATACTGCACCTTTGCTCCGAACAATGGTGCCTTATTGATTATTGTTTGGTGCCGATGAAAGGTGTATGTCTACTGAAAGATGCTGACTATTGGTGAGATGATGTTCTTGTAAGAGCTATAATTCAAATGTTCACTCATCTTAGACACAGGAGATCTAACACTAACACTCTTCATAGATATGTCATTGTTTGAAACTAAAAGATATTGTCTTGCAGGAAGTTTTTCAAACACATCTCTCATCTATTCAGAATTTCTTTCTTTTTGTTTTCTTGGCATGAGCTACCAGAACGATTACATAAATTTGCTTTCTTATTAGTCCTGACGTGGCATCATGGCTTCAGTCAATTTCCCACCACCATAAAGTTACCTCCCTTTGCCTTTTCTATAAATACTTTCATGGTAATTGTTCAGATAAACTCTTCACTACGTTACCTAGAATTTTTGAATTTAAGTGCAGTATTAGACTGGCAATGAGATCTCATGAATTTAGAGTTGAGATGTCAAAATGTAGCCATAATTCTATGCTTACATACAGTTTCTTTTCTTGCACTTCTCACTTGTAGAACTCCCTTCCAGCTCCATGCTTTCCTGCCAGCTTTAATCTACAACAATTAAAATGCAATATTAATTGCTGTTGACTGTCCTTCTGATTACTCTTTCCTCTTACCTCTTATTGTTAATAATTCTGTTCCTAATTCCTCCATACCATGTAACCCCTTGTTTCTTAGGGGCTTTACTACCTTGCTAGAAGTGATACTGATTAAAAAATAATACGTTAAAGGATGGCATTAGTAATTAGTGTTGCTGCCTTTGGCTCAAATAATTGTCTGGAACAAGGTTCAGATTTTCTCATTGGGAATTTTTTCCCATTTTTCTTGGCAGTAATCCCAATTTACTAATTTACAGCTGTTCGGATGAGTTCTTCACTATGGTACCTAGAATTCATGAATTTAAGTGCAGTACGAGACTGGCAATGAGGTCTTGCTAATTTACAGCTGAGTTAGCTAGATGTAAACACAAGTTTTATACGAATAATTTCTTTCCTTGGACTTTTAGAATTCTTTTCTGGATTCTTGCTTTCCAGTCAGCTGATATTCAAAAATTTAAATGCAATGTCAATCATCATCTTCTGTTGCCTTAAATCCTGTTGCATTATTTTCCTTTCTGTTTCTATCACTCTCAGTAACCCCTTGTGCCTTAGTGGCTTTTATCATATCGTGTGGGTGGAAATGATTAAAAAAACAAAGTAAAGAGCTCTCTATCTACGTCTACTCATATCTATCTATATATTACCACCACTACAACTGGTTACATAAAAACACCTCCAAATCAATAGATAGATATTTACAGACTAAGATAGATGTTTGTCAATTATTTTTTTTTATTCTGATGAACTTTGCTCTATGGCACCTAGACTTTATGAATTTAAGCGCAGTACTAGTTTGGCAGTTAGGTTTCATCATTTTATTTTTAAAATTGGTAGATGTAATCATAAGGTCTATGTTAATGTTTCTCTCACACTTCTCACTTGTGGAATTCTGGCTTCTTGCTTTCTAGTCAACTTTGATCTTCAATAATTTAAATGCAGTGTCGATCACTATCTACTGTCCTCATGATTACTCATATTTTGTTCTTGCTCTTTAGTAATGTTTCTGGTTTCTAATTCTTCCACACTCAGTAACCCCTTGTGCCTTAGTGGCTTTACTTACTGGGGTGAACTCATTTTTAAAGAATACATTAGGGTTTCAAAAAACTGAACATTGTGACTAGTTTGTTGAAAATGTGTGTTCACTGACAG